AGCCAACACCTGTGCAAGTGAGTGTCAGAGTGTCGGAACTCGGTGGGAGCATCCGTCACAGTCACGTTCACAGGACTCTTCACACTCGCTCGAAAAAGTGAAATTTCGTTTCACATGAAATGTGAAGTGAAAGTGAAAGTGAAACCGATTCGCTGTTTCCATGTGAAATCACGAACCCTGAAAGGGGCTAGGAAAGGGGTAGGCACAGCAGGTCACCAGAGGTGAGCAGCGTCCTCTCTCTAACCCGTGTAGAGTCGTAATGTGAGGATTCAGGATTTTCAGGCTTCGGCCCCTTCGCTGCAGCACGGTGTGGAGGTCACACACACGCAGCTCACAGCACACACAGCTCACAGGCTGCGGACACACACACACTCAGGTGCGGATATTTTGGGGCGCCCCCGGGCCCGGTGCGCGGTGGGGCGTGACGCGTGTGCGGCGCAGGCGGTGCCGGTGGGGGGGGGGGGGGGGGCTCTCTCTCTGCGGCGGTGGATGGTGTGGGCAGGCGCGAATTATATATGAATCGCGATTATGCAGGAAGTGGCATCCTTTGTGCTACTGCTTACTGCTTTGACCTTTCGCCGCACGAGAGCGACACATTTTAGTCGTGGACGTAGCTCTTATTGTTTGTCTCAATCACTCAGCGCACAACTCGCTCAAAGTTATTTGTGTTGACCCGACACACGTAGAGATCACATACGAACGTCGAGAGGGGGAGGCCAGAGTCCCTCGCCCCGAGCGTCCCGAGGACATGGTTTGCTGACGCTGTGTGCGCGCGATGGTATGCTCTCAGTCGTCCTCGTCCTCACCAGTGTTGCCCTTGTACTTGGCGAGGAGCTCCTTCTCCACGTTGGGCGGAACCACCTCGTACGAGTCGAGCTCCATCGAATAGGAGGCGCGGCCCTTGGTGAGCGAGCGCAGCGAGGAGACGTACTGGAACATGTTGGCGAGCGGCACCTTCGCGCGAACCACCTTCATGTTGCCGCGGTCGGCAAGCTCGGCCACCATG